AAATGTTTTCAGGATCATGCCAACCGTAATAGCTAACAGCTCAGGCTCTATACGCTATGATTGGACAGCATCTCATGTCCACCTTTACAAACTGTATCGTGGCATGACAGCAGCTGTATGTTCAAAAGAAAATAAAAGTTCAATTTAAACTTGTTATCTTGGGTTTATTTCTGATTATATTGCATCTGCTTGCAGGTCATCCAGGATATCTCTTTTAGCCATTTTAGCCAGTGGATATCTATTGTTTCATCCCGAGGTACTTGCCATATTTTTACATTGTCTCCTTTTGGCGGTGATGCGAGTCTGCTGCCACAGAATTCTCACAGTGATGGGCTACCCCTTGCCCCATGTCAATCAAGGCCATGGTGGTCAAAGCCATCATTCCTTATGGATCATCAGCTTCATCCAGCTCCTTCAACTGTAACTAATTCTGTAGTCAGTAGGATAAAAAACAGTTCTTCTGGTTGGCTAAATACTGTTAGTAATGTGGCTGCTTCTGCAAGTGGGAAACTATCTGTACCATCTGGCGCTGTTACTGCTGTTTTCCACAATTCCAACTATGAAGGTTCATTGCCAGTTCCATCAAAGGCTAATGCCATGGAGCATCTATTGGTGTATTCACCATCTGGCCATGTTATTCAACATGAACTACTGCCTTCAGGTTCTGAATCCTCTGATAGCAGTCCAATAGTTGGGCCTGGTTCCTTGCAGATCCAAGATGATGAGTTGCATGTTACTGCTGAACCGACTCAGTGGTGGGATGTATGCCGTAGGACAAACTGGCCAGAAAGGGACGAAAACATTGCAAACATAGTCTTCCATAATCAACGAAATAGTATGATGGCAATGGATGCTTCTGACTGTGATAGTGAGCATTCAGATTCCGTTCCATCAGATGGTATTTCTGGGAAAGAGATGATGAGATCTCGAGAAAGATCAAGTTGGTACCTCTCAAATGCAGAGGTACAGATAAGTTCATGGAGGATTCCCATTTGGCAGAAATCAAAGGTTGTGCCTCCTTGTCTCAACATTGTGCTCAGCTTCTTTCTTCTTCTTTTTTGAGATAACGTTGTGCTCAGTTGTGTGCAATGAATATTGAATATTGTTTTCATGTTTGTGTAGATTTTCTTCTATGTGATAGATCAACCACCTGCAAAATCAGGGGAATCTCTTAGCTCTAGTGGGGGAGAGATTGAGATTGAGAAGCTGCCTCTGCATGAGGTTGAACTTCGGAGGAGGGAATTGCTCCCTGTATTCAAGCAGTTCCACTATTCTGAACAGAACTTCAGTGACAGGTAATGTCAGCAAATTTTGGCTGGTAAATTTTTGTTTCTTTTATCTGTAGTAAAGATATGCTTTCAATGCCATTCATTTTAGATAATATTTTCCCCAAAACAGAAGCTGGTTAAGTCAGCTTAAAATCTAAATTATATGGCATTTCCCATTCTGGACTGGTTTAACTGAACACTGGCAGTAACAGACAGGTTTCTGAATCTGGATGGTCTAATGTGTATTTTATAGTTTGGGTACATCATTGTCTCAGGTGCATGGTGTGCATGGACTAATTCTGCAAATGTCAAATTTCAAAAAGTATATGGACTAAGGTTGATGATTGTTATGCAGACTTGGCTAAATCTAGTCTGGATTTGCCACACTTTCTGGCAAAGATTTCTTTTTGGCCACATTATGGTGGCTGCTACATGTTGAAAAGTTGTCATTCTTGTGAGTTGTTTTGAGGGAACAGATTTACATGATCCTAAGTAGTTGCCGAAATAATGCGAGAGTGGATCTATCTGGGGATTGCGTATATTGTAATAAACTTCTGGTAGGAAATGGATAGACTTCTTGCGGGCAATGTGAATGTATAAAATTTTTGAAAACGAGAGAATTTCAGTATCACATAATTTTAAGATTCCAATTAATTGTCATTTGTGTGTAGAAGTAAAATAGAAGGTGGTATGATACTAGCTAGTAGTATTGCAATTAATTGAGCCTTTTTTAACCTTGGTTTGGTAGTTTGGTACCATATACATCGGTGTTATTACATGTTTTTTTGAAGTAGCAGATGCTAGTGCCTATACTTGATTATTTTAGAATTGAGCTGTCCAATATTTTGATAGTTTTCTTTTAGTGCAAATGAACCAATGCATGTCTAATTATGATTTTTAATGTGACTTCATTCAAATGCGAAGTTAACAATATTCAAAGATTCAGGAATCTTGCAATAGGACGGTTTCAGAATGCATTGACATACATCGACAAGGATAATGGTGCTCATGGATCCAAGGCGGGGTTCCCTATATCTGGATTTTACAGTGGTAAGCATATGAGCGTATGATGTCATTTGTAATACTTCATCCCAGTTATGTGTCATAGTTAATTGAAAAGCCTTTCTTTTGCAGATATGAGGAAAATGCAGAACATGAATGGTTTAGAGGGGCAGTTATTGTTGGAACCTATCACTAATGATTTACAACCAATGGAAAAATGCAATTCTGTTCAATCTCCTAAAGTGGCAAATTTTACTGCCCTTCACAATGTAGATAATGAGAGCATGAACCATGTTTCAACAGCAACTGGAGCAACCACATCAGTCACAACAGTGGACACTTTACCTTCAACCATCAGACCATTGAGCAGCTACTCCCTCTTGGATGGATCTCTTGATGATGGATTACCATCACCTGCAAGTAATGTATCATTCAGGCCTCAGATAACCAACAATTCTTCAGTAAGCAATGGTACAATGACTGACATCTCAAATGGGTGTCTCACGAGCATCAATTCTGGACAGAATGAAGCATCTGATTCTCACAACTCAGTGGAGTTTACCCAGTATTTCCAAGAGGGCTATTGTAAAATATCAGAACTCGATGACTGCCGTGAGTTAACTGAAGCTGTTACTGATGCTGACAGCAGCAGCAGCCACTGCGAGAGAGAGAAGCCCGAGGAAGATGGGGATAACGATGACATGCTTGGGGCTGTTTTTGCCTTCAGCGAAGAAGGTACTGTCTGTGATGCAAGTTCTATGAGGGCGTTGCATATTTTTGCGTTGTGCTGACCTATCTCTCTTCTTTCTGGTGGCAGGTTGAACCTAATAATATACTCTGCTTTTACATAGAGAATGGAAAACAGTGCCCGTGATATTACCTAGAAAATGGTGGATTTCCATTAGGCTTTCGTGGAATAAATTGGTGCTGAGATGATAATCTACTATTTGGTACATATTAGAAAGGTGAAGCTTGTGCTCGATATCCATTTGTGAGAAGTTTTACTCAGGAATTGAGATCAAGATCCTTCCTTCCGGGCCATTAACTAATCCACGGATCCACGTTAAGGGGAGCTTGGTGTTGTCGAGAAGTTGCTGCTGCCTGCCGCAACACTGCCCCTTTTCCGTTGCTTTGTACATACTGTAAAAGACCATTTGTTTTGTGAAATACGTCTCTGGAACATTGGACGGTCCAACTTCCTTGGCAGCCATATTTGTTGACTGCTTCCTGCCAAGGCCTGTTAATGTTCCTTGTTTATTTGTACAGTCTTTTCTGTTTCATTAAGGAAAAAGAAAATCTAGCAAGGATTAATGTGACATAACTGTATAAACATTCAGTAAAGAATTTCCGTTTACGAAGAAATGTTAATTGTTTCCCTTGCTTCTCCCATCGATTTGCGTGCCTGTGGTATTGACTGAAGAACGTTTGATGGTACTATCAAAGTGCATTCAGTGTTTGGATATTGTACCAGGTACCAACATCTGAAGGAGGGTACTACCAACGTACACTGATTCACTGAATCAATGCTACTAAGCGGATGGTACTACCAACGTACTACACTCACTGAAAAAGCGATTGGATATTGTACCAATATCTGAAAAAAAGATGGTACTGTACCAACGTACGCTAAAAATCAATGCTACTACTGCTACTGGAGTACTACAGATGTGCGTTTTTTTGTTTGCTAAGGTTTGATCAACACTATTAACGCGTACAAATGGGAAAATAACACCAGGGGATTACTCACCATTTTTTTTTCCAAGGGGACATCAGTTTAGAGTTCCGAGAACACTCGTAATTGAGAGTTAGGCATGTTTGGAACGTGAGATTTTACTAATGCACTCCACCAAATCAAACTAGTTAAACTAAACAGCCGCCCTAGGAAAGATAAAACCTCATCACTTACCCAATGACTTATAAACCACTATCAAATTTTAATTTAAAGTTAGTTTTAATATATTTTCAACATAGTTTCTTTTTAATACTAGCTTTTAAGTCGCTAAGCATATTGCACAATATGTAAAAGTTTCTTTCCACAAATTATTTTATTTTACTTTTTATATATCACTTATAAAATCGTTGAAGGTTTACCTCCTCTATTCTTAAAAAAAAACCATCATGGGATATAACACATACTACTATTTTATCTTATATCACATACATACATGTTTGCTTTTTATTCCTAATTAGATTTTATAGTAGTAGGATGTGCTGTACTATATTTGTTTTTATGGGATATATAGGAAGTACTCGTTCCGTCCCAAAATAAGTCATTCTCGTAAACGCATCTTAATACAACAAATTTGAATATATGGTATGATCAAATTCATTGTATTAGGATGTGCTATATTCTATTATAATGTTGGTTTATTTTAGGACGGAGAGTATATATCAAGCGTAGGCAACCAATAGAGATGACAAACTATCGGAGCCATCGTTTCACTTATTCGCGGAATAAGCCAAACTGTATATTTACAAACGAGAAGTAATTTGTGAATAAAACTTTTATATACGTGTTTTTGGCGATCTAAATGCAAAGGCAAAAAAAAATAAACTTCGATGGAAAAAACTATAAAATCTAACTCTAAATTTAAGGTTAAAAATTAATTTTAAGATAGGCAGAAGCATTAAAAAAAAAGGAGGCCATACGGCGGCATGCTGTTGCCTGTTGGTGCACTGCATAATCCCAGTTTCCTCGCCTGTTCAGTGTCCCCGGCCCGGAAAGACGGAGCCTCGCGCCGCCCAGATCCACACACATATGCCTCTGCTGCTGCCTTGCGAGGCGCGATCAAGCCTAGCCACACGCCGAGGCGACTCGACGCGAGGCCTCATCCGGGAGGAACACGTACGGGTCCGCATCCCCTTCCGCGCGCTCGCGCTGCACAGCACAGCGCGTGCGCCGAGAGCGACGAGGGAGGAAGCCCTCCCCACCTCACCACCACACAAAACCCGCGCTAATCCCCCCGTGGCGGATAGCGGATAACCAGAAGAAAGACAGGAGGACTCGAGGAGAGGAGAGCGTGCGCGGGCTGCGATGATGGAGGGGGAAGTGGTGGAGGAGGAGGAGGAGGAGGAGGTGACGGCGGCACCAGCGCCGGCGGCGATGGTGGCGGCGGCGGAGTTCGGGCTGACCGCGGAGGTGATGGCGGTGCTGCCGGAGGACCCGTTCGAGCAGCTGGACGTGGCGCGGAAGATCACCTCCATCGCGCTGGCGTCGCGCCTCGGGCGGCTCGAGGCCGAGGGCGCGCGGCTCCGCGCGCAGCTCGCCGAGCGCGACGCCGCGGCGGAGGACCTCAGCGAGCGCGTCGAGCAGCTCGACGCCGCGCTCGCGGTGGCCACCGGACGCCTCCGCCGCGCCGAGGAGGAGAAGGTAAAACTCACTTAGCTACCGGAGTCAAAGTCACTATTGTGGCCTGAGCTGCTTGTTTCAACCGAGATAATTACGTTGACTGACACATGGGGTCCAATCCATTTGTCGGCGATGCTGTCACGCTTCCCGAATCGTTAACACGCGCATAGTAGTACTCTAATTTCAGGCGATTTGATTGATCGCTAATGATAATTGAGTACCATTTCTTCAAAAATGTGACACATCGCTTGTTGTCTCTAGTATAATTGCATCAATCTTGTGTTGAGTTATATGTTCAGTGCACGTTAGCATAATTTTGATGTTAATGTGTGTTCCTGTTGTGGTCTTGTGGATGGTGGATATGCAGGAGGCACTGCAGAGGGATAACTCATTGCTGTCAAACACCGTCAGGAGGCTGAACAGAGATGTTGCCAAGGTAATTGGACGTATTTTATTGCTCATTTGAATTTTCTGCGATGTGTGGTGACTCAGAATGTTTGCTCAAAGTATGTGTGGTGACTCAGAATGTTTGCTCAAAGTATGTTTTTGTCATCTGTTTTTCGCTTTGCTGTCCAGTTGGAAGTGTTCAAGAAGACGCTTATGCAGTCACTCCAGGAAGATGAAGATCCTGCTGTAAGTTATCCACGACTCTGCGTTTGCATGTTTGTGTTGTATTTACTTCAAGAACCCAACAGTGACTAGAGCATTGGAATTTGGAACTTTTGCCCTAATTTTATTTGTAATTCTTTTTGATTGGAAGTGATTTTTCTTGTTAAAAATACTTTGCTGCAGAACACTACTCCTAAGGCAAGGGTCAGCGAAACTTCAAATTTCTCCTCTGCAACATCTGTTGGAGGTACTCCAAATATTTTGGGAGGAATTTGGTGGTTGCTAATTGCATCGATTTGCATTGTGCCATATGTAACCACTAGAGTAACCTTGACAGTCTGTTTCTATCAGATGAAGATTCTGCATTTCCAGTTTCCAAATCGTCACAATTATCAGAAACCGCAAGTTCAGTCTCAGAGGAAAGTAGTCATGTTGAGCCAGATGGTACATTCCATTCCATCTCAGTTGATTCACGTTGTTCAATGTGCAACTCCTTTTGGTGATAATTTACATAAAGCACCTTTTTATACTTGCAGTACCCAGGCCACCCCGTCCACATGTATTTTTGCCATCGTACAACAGTACACCAAGGGTTACTCCCCCAGACTCACCTCCAAGGAGTTTCGCGTCAATATCACCTCCAAGGCGGCATTCAATTTCAATTACATCAAGGAATTTGTTTGATGACAGGTCCTCGGCCTATTCTGGTCATAGTTCAGTGACATCTCCATTTGATGCAGGAAGTCACACAGGTTAGCTGTGCTAGCTCGAACTAAATATCTATGTTCTTGTTTGCATTGTAATTTGCTAATACTTTTGTGTGAAATAAGGAACCTTCATATGTAGGATGTATTAATATAAATTTTGTGAGTAAATTAGTGAGGCTGAGATTCTTCAAGGACAAAAAGCTGACTCAATCAAAATATACCACTGAAAATTGGCTAGTATTCTGCTAATAGAGTTCTGTGTTTTCGTAATTTAGAACTTATAATATATATAAAAGGAGGAAACCTAACAAATTGCCTGGTCATATGATTCAATGACCATCCATATGTGATAAAGGCTTCTATCAAGTCTCTTGAGTATTTGCATGCAAAAAATATCGATAATATCTTTTTATGAATTAATGAATGTCAAAATGCAATCTAGATTCCAAACAGTCAGTCTACCTTTGTGAAGAACTAGCAAACTCCATTAACCATCCATTCTGTTGCACTGATAGTAGAGAGCTGAAATAGATAATCTGCTTGAAGCACCAGCATTTTAGGACAAATGAAAAGGATTAATTGGTCAGATAGACTGGTACCAGTCTCCAGTGTAGCTTAGGGTTTGATTTCTGACTGAGCATGCTGATCATTTCCATGAATTTAGTAGTTCTCTATGTTTATTGTTTGCGCGTTTGTTTTCCAGGACGAACACGAGTTGATGGAAAAGAGTTCTTCCGTCAAGTCAGGTATGTGGTTTTAGATGAACATGACTTTGGAGAGTACCTCTAGCTGTGCCCTTTATGTTGTGTAACTTTCCTTTAGAAAAGGATGGAACATTTGCTTAGGAGTTATTGTAATTCCCTACCTTCTCCTAGTCCACTTGTAAAGTTGCTTAAGGTCTGCCCTGTTGTGTTTTTTTTTCCCAAAAAGCTTGACATTATAATGTACTTGAAGAACCACACAATATTGCGCTATAGGAATTGTATTAACCCCGGTCCCTGAAGATCCTTTTTTCATAAATTGCAAAAACAAAATTATGGCTGTCTTGTTGCTTAACCACCAGAAAAGCAACCTTTTATTGCAATAGTCATGGTGCACAGTTAACCTCCACATTCCTTTTGACTTAAATTTTTGTGTGCATGCAGAAACCGTCATGGTGCACAGTTAACCTCCACATTCCTTTTGACTTAAATTTTTGTGTGCATGCAGAAACCGTTTGTCTTATGAGCAGTTCAGTGCATTTCTAGCCAATGTAAAGGAGTTGAACTCACACAAACAGACCAGAGAGGTATAAAACTATAGAAACTGCACTTACTGTATGTTCTACTATATGTGAATCTGTATCTCCCTTTTTGTCCTAGGTTTTTCTTCTCTTTTGGCGCTTATTGAAGCTTCTGTGATGCTTACAGGATACACTAAGGAAGGCTGACGAAATATTTGGTCCAGATAACAAGGACCTATACACCATCTTTGAGGGCCTAATTACTCGCAATATTCACTAGAATCCTGAAAAGTCAAAACTGGAACATTTCTTGTAATTAAAAGCGGTCCAGGTTTTTTTACAGGAATTATGAGAAAAATACGTTTGGTACTTTTTGTATTTCAGTGGCTACTAATTTCAGATTTCTGGTGTATAGTTTTTAAAATTTATTCTTGATGTTAATGTAGAATCTGTAAGGTATGGTTATATATGTAATACAAATGAAAAAAATTGGAATAAGAGCCAATGTGTTTTTCTTTTTATTAAATTCAAAATGTTTCTAATAACCACAGATAAAATGCAGTTGAAAACAAGAGCAAACTTTCCTCGCATGTATCAGTCAATCAAACCACTTTGAAGAAGATAAATTAAATAGCACCAGTGCCCTTTCATACAAGTGTAGCTCTATTGAATATTCTTTTGGTAAAAACGGCTTGATTTGCCGCAGAGGTAAATAATTTCAGACTGTAATTATTTATACTGCTTGAATGATTCAGTGGTTCAGAGCACAAACTGAAAAACGTATCCCAGATTTGCTGGTCACATCAATGCTCAACTACGGTACAAAATTCAGAAAGAAACATAATTTTCCTTTTTGTGTAATCAAAAGAAAAAAGATAAATGATTAATTCTCCAGGTTACTTCGCGACTCATGGAGCGATTCTTCAGCACCCAGTGACACCCGTTCTTCAGCCACTTCAAGCATTATCATGTCAGCTTTCTTATTACCTGTGCTATGTAATCTTTAATATATTTTTTTAGCACGCTAATGCTACTACAAAAGTTCACTTTTGTTTTTTTATATTCCCTGAACTATTTACCGGCCTGCTCCAAATTGCCTTTTGTTCTTCAAAACTCCCAATAACGGCAGACTGTCTCTTGTTTGCTAAAGAATTTGCCAATTGTTTGCTATATATTTCACCATCGAAATCGCTCAATACCCTTACCAGCTTTGCACTATTCTTGCTGATGACAATCTGCCCGTCCGTGCTTTTGTTTGTGTTGGCAATAACACTTACTGGCTTGAGTTCCACTGAAGGTTTCAGTCCTGATCCTTCAACCATGTAAACTGCTCCAAGAATTTCTCCCAGAAATATGTCCTGATATCATGAAAATTTACACAAAGAAGTTATGTGACAAAACGGTATCAAAGTGAGAAAAAAATAAGATAGAGATGGATTGTAGTCACTAGTCAATTACCAAATGATGATACAGCTTCTGTTTGATCTGAAGTTCTTGCAGCAACGACAACAATTCATGGACAAATTTTGATTCATGGGTATGCTGGATGTCTTCCAAAGCCGCAAGGACAGCCCGAAATGATGCAGCCTTTCGTTGCGCCGTAAGAGGAATGAGTGCGATTTTCAGATCAGATTCCAGGACTGTTTTTGCAGCTAGTGGATCAAGAAATATGTTAAACTCTGCATGTTTGTTTGATGGAACCGTGAACAAATTTCCATTCTCATCGCCTCCATCTTTGATGAGTCCACCAACAACATAGACTCTCTGCATTGGAAAAGGTTGTTTATTGAGATTGACGACCACTGATGAACTCATCACAAACTAAAACTTATTTTGGAAGATCGAGAACTAATTGACCTCTATTACAGAACTTGCATCCCTGTCAGAGAGTGAAATGTTGGCCATATTGGTGAGAGGTCCATTAGTAAGAACAGTGATCTTTTCGCCTGGATCAAGCTGCTTCCTGACAGATTGCCAAACTTCAAGAGCCAAAGGCTGCCGATCTTCTGGGTGATCTAAACTTTCAGGAGCATATCTGATCGTGTAATTAACAATGTAAAAAAAATTTAGGACAATCTTCAATTAATTATTCCTATGAGAGAGTTCCTTTACTGTACCCACAGATTAGTGTGGACTATATATTCAGAGCATGCTGCAGAAGCAGAAGGTTACCTTCTAGGACTTCTTGGCAGTGACCTGGCTAGTCCATACAGTGTATCTGAATCAATAAAACCACCACTTCCATGGGGGATAGCATAAGAATTGTTGCAGCCAAGGGTTGGAATTCCCAATGCAGTGGTATTGCCTAGGCCTACTGGAATGTCGTCGCGGCCCATCATATGTAGAATGTCGTAAACGATATCGATGCTCGCAATATTTGCCCAGCCATTGCCATTGACCAAAACAGCCTAAAACAATTTTTAAGACAGTGAGTTTTGCTTGATGTTGTCAACAATGATTCAAAACAAATGCTAATCCATTGTTGTACATATGAGAAATGACAACATGATTTTGTTCACTTAATGCATTTGCCATACATTTTTTTGTTTCCTTACCTTTAGATCTATTACTTCTATTGGTGTCTTCAAGAGGTATATTAGGGAAACAAAATCTCCAGGGCTCATGTCCATGTCAAAAATGACTGGCTTCCCCCTGCTCACATTTCTGAAAACCGGCTTGTAAAGAACTTCTCTATAATATGGGAACTGCGTATTGATGTTGAAAAGCCCAGTTTGTTCGGGACGATTTAAGACCTGCAGGAAGCAATTTCGTCAATAACAGTAACTTTATTAGACAAAACAATGAAAATATTCATGTCATAACCTTGTCATTCCCTAAAAATAAGAATTCAACCTTCTCAAAGATGAGCAAGGAATGACATGCATGCTTACCTCTAAGAAGCTCTTGGAAAATTCCTTTTCTAGTGAACTATTTTTATCCGTGTTAGGCTTTGCTCTTGTTGCAACACGAACCCGAACTCCTTCTGGACCAGACACTTCTCTAGTGTATCCATCCTAAGAGGATTTCAGAAAAATATCAAAATGTATCTTGTCTCATGCATAGACAGAATTTTGCATGTTGAGTATTAAAAATGTGAGATCATATCATAGCAACTGGGAGATCAGCGATGGAGATGTTCAGAACAGGAAATTTTAACTTGCTCACTTTCTAATTATCAGTGAACTAAATGGATATAAGAACAATATCCATAAATACTTTTTTTTTTCTAATAAGCATATCTATATTGTTAAAGAACATTCCAAAAGTATAACAACATTTTTCAATCAACAACATAGCGATGGAGATGTTCGCAACAGGAAATTTTAACTTCCTCACTTTCAAATTCTCAGTGAACTAAATGGATATAAGATCAATATCAATATATACATTGTTACAACAACTCGAAAAGTACGATTTTTTTTTTTCATTCAATAACACATGCACATTACCTCGCATCTCCCTCTGTTGCTTCCCGGTACCAGGCAGAAGCTATCTCTTATTCCAGTCTGAACATGGCCACTGTGAACTCCACCCTCTTTCAGGCCAAGTTTAGGAGTAGCACGGCCATCGAAAAAGGGGTTCGAGCCGTCACGTTTACCATACGGTTTGTTTGAAGTTATCACTGTAATGTTCATATATTCAAGCTCAGAAAATTCATTTTCACCATCAACCTCGCCATTGCGCATGCTAGAGAGAGCCACACCAGCAGCAAAGGAATCCCACATGTAGTAGCTCTGAGTAATGAAAGAACACCATGAGAAATTGGGACTTTTTTTAGGCGAAATTTCGGTACCAAATAAAAGTTGTGTTGTTTTTTTTTACAATTGTGAAAGAAAAGGGAGATTTGAGCTTTGGACTTGCCGTGTTGCCATGGCCGTTGGATCGTCCCCTCAGCCTCATCAAGACCTTATCAAGTGACTGGAAACAGTACTGTGCCTCGTAAGTTTGCTGATGCTGTTGGAATTCAGAAACGAATTCCTCGGTGACCGAAATTGTGTTGGTCGCATCAAGAGGAATCATCGTGATTGGAATCCCGGAATGTATGACCTGAAGATATAGAAACGTAGAGTCGGCACTATTACTCAATATAATCAGTTAAGTCTTTTTTTTTTCGATTGATATAATCAGTGAAGTCAAGACATGCACTGAAGTAGCTAAAGTTCATGCATTTCATCGTCTGCTTGTTGACTTATCATCTACAGCCTACAACTAAAATTTGAATTTCAGAGTTGATTTTATGGTTTTTCATCGTGATCTATTTTCCAGCCTTACTTTTAAACTGTAATAATACTAATACAAAAGTTTACTCATAAATTATCTTTGGTTGCCTCTACCTGTCGTAGCTTATTAACCACATTGTTGAATGCAATAAATCACGAGATAATTGCTGGATCATATGCAGCAAAATTAAAATTAACCATGGGAAAGAAACAGTTTACACCTATATTATTGCTGCTAGAGGCAGCGAACAGTTGATACTACATTATTATTGCAAATACAATTAAGGTGACCTGAATACCTGATAAGCAGCGAAGGGGTCTCCAAAGATGTTGAACTCGGCGAACGGGTTGGTGGCGAAGGCGGTGAACAGGTTGCCGGCGGGGTCCGCCGCCCTGACGGCGCCGCCGGAGACGTAGACGCGGTCGATGTTCCGAGCCAGGCGCGGGTGCGCCATGAGCAGGAGCGCCAGGTTGGTGTGCGCCCCGAAGAGGAGCACGGTGGTGGGCCCCCCCGACACCGTGTCGGCCATCACCCGCTGCGCCGTCGGCTGCGTCACCGGCCTGTACCGCCGCCGCCCCTGCGGCAGGAACCCCCTCCTCACGCCGGAGTTCGTGTCGACGTCCAGCCGCCCGCCGCGCCCCGCCGGGACCGCCTGCCTGTACCTGCAGCCGCCGGCCGTCGACGTGCCCTGCAGTACACACATCGCTGGCATCGATCTGCAGCTTTCTTGGACACACTACACCGGACTAGGTCACCTGTTCCAAACCCTTATCTTTAACGGGTTTAAGCTTGGTTACAAACTAATGATCACTGGTGAGGATCAGTCACATTTAACGGGTGGAGAACCGTCACAATGACTCCACCCGACACAATGATAGTCAACTCTGACGAGCTAGAACTCTACGGTCCGTCAGAGGTAAGTGACACACAGCAACACACAGTACTACTATGAGTTTTGTAGTACCTGGTCGATGAGTGGGAGGTAGCCGCCGACGTCGGGGCCCCGGAGGGCGCCGGAGTCGGAGACGCCGCCGTCGCCGCCGACGCCGACGGGGATGTCGTCGCGGCCCATCATGTGGAGGAGGTCGTAGAGGTGGTTGACGGCGTGCCCGGCGTCGCTCCACTCGTTGGCGTTGATGGTGATGGCCTGCGCACGCGCACGCGCAGCGCATTGTGTACGTGCAAAGAAGAAGCGCCCGTGTCACATCACATCGATCGATCGATCACTCAGCACACAAACGCAACGCAGAGAGCATCGACAAGACGGCTTATCCTGTGGACAAATGGCGTTGAAACATGCAGGTAGGAGCAGCGCTGGTCAAAGGCCGGTCGTCTCTCTCTGCAGGGTGTGCTGTCTACGTCAACGTTTAATTAATTAATTATTTACCAACTTAATGATGAAATGACAGTGTAGGTGAGGAGGAGAGCCACACGCGTGCGACGATATCACCACCGGAGATGGACCATTTACTCCGAGTTGGGGAGATAATAGATACGATCGAAATGATCGAGATCGTCATCGTCTTTTCAAGAGATTGAGCCAGAGGCCTTTGTAAAAAAGGCTATGTATGGATATTTTTTACGGTATACTCCAGAATTATCTGGAGCGAGAGACCGTCTGTTTTGACAGTGATTAAACGCTTCATATGTCTATTATTACCTCCAATAAGAAGATGATTAGTGGTAAAATGATCGTATCTTTGGGAAAATTCATGAAACAAATTAGCTAGACGCAGGCAGTATCGTATGGAGTATGCAACTCGATGGCCATCAGCGTTAACGCACGTATTACCTTGACGTCGAACTCGGAGCGGTTCTGCTTGAGGAGGTAGAGCAGCGCGAAGAGGTCGTCGGTGTCCATGTCCGTGTCCACCAGGATCCTCCTCGGCTTCGCCGCCGCCGCCGCCGCCGCCGCCGCCGCCGTGGCGCGGCCCGCGCCGCCGGCCGCCACGCCGGAGGCAGCGGGCGCGGCGCCCACCGCCACCAGGAGCAGCACGGCGGCCGCCGTCGCCGCCGTCCTCCACATCTTGGCTCTCCTCTTCGCCTTCTCCGCGGGAGACATGCACACAGCAGCAGCAGGAGGAGGAGGAAGAGGAGGATGAGCTTAGCTAGCTGGCCGGTGCGCCTTTTTATCGATCGCCGGCCGGCCTCGCTGTGGGTCGGTAGCTGCAGGGCATTAATGGGCGGCGGGGCGGGCTGGCAGTGGCAGCAGCCGTCAGGCGAGCGTGGATGATGGAGGCCTCCCCAATCGGGCAAGTAGTGATGAAGCCGATCGGGCTGCCCACATCCACACTGCACCTGTATTTGATGATAAACACGTAGTACCTCCGCTAAAATATAGTAACTCTTAGCTGCATGCATTAATTTAGACACACAATTATCCATATATATAGTTAAAAATATTTATATTTTGGAACGAAAGGACCTGTTCAGATTGTAAACAAAATAAATCTTACTAAATTTTGGTAATTTGGTAAAATTTTGATAGGATTTCTTATGTATTTACTAAAGTTTGACAATAAACTAAAAGGATGCACATATTTAGCAATTCTGCTAAAAAATAATATGGTTTGAAATGGTATCAATATTAACAAGCCCGAAGTATATATTACTTTCCATTTTACAAATCACATAGCCTGCCTAGCTAACATATTAAAGTATGGATGGATTAATATTCTCTAAGAATAATCTACACGTGTGACTATTTATATATATTTAACTAGTTCTAAAAATGCCTTCAAATTATGTAGTCACACGACATGTAAAACTTTGCTGCAAAATACAATAACCGAGTAGCCACTAACTTGATGTGGGTATCGGTCTAATTGAACTAGTACCAATCAAAAAGCCACTCGATCAACAAACTGGCTAAGCTAGCTCAAAAGATTTATCTAGAGTATATTAATATTAATAAACACTTGTTATTTATAAATCATATACTTTCAACGTAGTGGCGGAGCTAGAACGAAATGAAGGACGTACATCTTGCTTAATTTACTCTACTTTAGATCAAGTGTAAATTGATGCGTGTGCCTAAGTTTGTATTGAGGGGGGTGCACACATGATGAAAATATGTGAGTTATAACTTAAAAATTTTTCTTGACCAAGTTCCTGGGCACCCCTCCCATACTCTACCTCCGCCCCTGTTTCTAGGGTTATAAATAGTTAAAGCTTATAACAACATTTTTAAAATCGTTGCTAGCCGTGGTAATAAATAGTGTGGTAATAGGTTATTGCAATGATTTTTATTTAGTTGCAAAAAATTTTGATATTGCCATAAAATGGATGTGGAAAAAAAAATATTACAACACTTCACATCGTTGCAATAGATAACTATTGCCACCACTCCATGTGTGGCATTAGATATTTAAACCCAATATCTCTCCCTCACACGTGCTCTCCACATAAAAATTATCATTGCAATAGTACAATGTATTGCCACGAATTATTTTTCGTTGTAATAAATTGATAGCGATAGCTCAATTATTTTGGCTAGCTAGCTAATTATTAATATCTAAAAATCAGCCGTGGATAAGCTCTTTGAGTCAATCCTCGGTTTCTTGTTTCCATGTGTCACATTAGACCATTAGATCTTGAGTTTACGATCAGATAAATTAATTTTCTTGTTTTCCCTAAAATTAATTTCTTGTTTATATGGGATACATCATGAGTGATAGTTACCCCTACTGTACAGGTAATTAAACCAACGAAATAAACGTGAAACCGCTGGCGGTTGGCTCGATCGTGCCCATCCCGGCGTGCCCGGCCCGGCTGGTGGGTTCGGGACCGCGTGGTCGTTTTCCAAAACCTTCCGTTGTGGTGGTGGCCTCGATCGTCTCCGGCCGGACGGCGAGTCCACTGTCCACCAGAGGCCGCCACACCCTCCCGTCGTTGAAGCTACAGCAACAGGCACGTACGACCGCGCGCGGGTGGGCGCAGCGCGGTGGAAGCGACACCACCGATGGTTATATCATCGATCGAAATTGCTTGCTTGGGCGCCGGCCACGGGAGGGAATCGTGTGTGTGAGACTTCGTGAAAGAGAGCTACGTAGCTAAGGGGGTGTACGTTTAGATCCACGGGTAAATTTTTTTTCACCGTCATATCGAACGTTTGAACACATGTACGGAGTATTAAATATTAGAAAAAAAAACTAATTACACAAACTTACAAGACGAATCTTTTAAGCATAATTGCGCCATGATCTGATAATGTGGTGCTAAAGTAAACATTTGCTAATAACGGATTAATTAGATTTAATAAATTCATCTCGCAGTTTATACGCGGATTATGTAATTTTATTTTGTTATTAGTCTATATTTAATACTTTAAATGTGTGTCCGTATATTATATGCGACCCGACAAATCGGTGGAGATAACAAAGCCTAAGCTAGCTAGCTTTCGGTGTGCGTCCAAGCCACGTGTTGTGCAAGTTAGCGAGGAGGCATGAAGCTAGGCACAGGGACGAGCACGTAGATACTGTTGTGCTGTGTCTGTGTCACCATTGACTTCGGTTGATCCGGACGGGGACTTATTGTCACGGGAAAACGGATGGAAATTCACAGGCATGCGCGTGCATTATGCACATACGGCTGGCCCTGTTCGTATGGGCTGTTTGCTTCAGCAAGACAGCAACTCCTTAATTATCTTTTAGCATATTTTCCGAACTGATAATAAATAAGGAGTTTTGTGCAAAAAAATTATATAAAAGTTCTTTCAATAAGTAAATAAATCTATTTTTTGAATTTAGTATTTAATACTTGATTAGTAAGGCGCTAATGATCTATTTATTTTTTTTAGACGTCAATGGCTATTCAAATTAATGATATAATTAAGCAGGGACGACGTTTCGTCGGCGGTGGCCGGTGGGGAGTTTGAATTTTGGAAGAGGGGTACAGAGCTAAGAAAAAAAATCTATTGCTCAATGAAAAAGTAAACATTAGTACGTGCAGGAAAAATATATCTAAAGCACATAGAGTTCATACTGACTTGTATATCTCACAGCTGCTAATCGATCGTACACAATTTAACAAGACACAGAGAGTATGGCCAACAATTTATTAACCACGAGGGTGGTAAGTTTTAAATACAAAATGAGAAGGAAAACGTCAGAATTACCTCCTAAATGTTGTGGCAGTACAAATTACACCCCTTAATTTAAAAACCAGACATTCTTCACCCTTAACTTTTCATACCGATGAATTACCCTCCTGGTCGATTCCGGAGTGGTTTTGTTCTTACGTGGCACACACATAGTCGACTTCGGAGCGGTTTTCGGCCTACGTGGCGCACACATGGTAGTCCAGTCAACATGAAAAAAAATAAAAAATGGTGGGCCCAATTATCAGTTTGGTATCTTCTCTCGATCACCACATGTGGGCCCTACTCTTTTTGTATTTTTTATACTGACTGGACTATCACATGTGCGCCACGTATGATCAAAACCATTTTAGAGTCTGTTAGGGAGGTAATTCGTTCGTTATAAAAAATTGAGGGTAAAAAATATCTGGTTTTTGAATTGAGGAAGGTAATTCGTACTATCGATCACCACAATGGTTTAGGGGGTAATTCGAACTTTTTCCAAATGAGAATATGGCATGTAGGACAGTATGCTAACAAAATGTGGTGTATCTTAATTGTGGTATATCCAACCAAATGCTAACCTAAAAAAATATGGCAAGCCTAAAGTTTGGTGTGTGACAAATTTCGGGCAGTAACCAAATAGCTCTTAAATGCCTAACTTACATATATATGCTACACATTTAATTTTAAACTAGCATGGTGGCCTGCGCAAATTAAGTGGCTAGCATCATTATATTTTCTCTCATATAATAGCATATATATTTTCTCAATGTATTATTCAAATATATTAAAATGATAACATAATTTTAAATATTGTACTAACTTTACGAAACTACTAATGTGTAATATACGTATTGTATTTTATATACGTGTTAGTTATTAATAGTTTTTAATATCAAATTTTAGTTATTTGTAAATTATATTTCTATATGGACTCTAGACTACTCTTTCAATATTACTTTTAATTCCGAATTTTCGTTATCCGTATTTCTATGTAGACTCTAGGCTGTTCTTCCAATATTTTTTTATTTTTAATCCTGAATTTTTATTATTTCTAATTGTATTTCTATGTGGACTCTAAATTCATCTTTCAACATTCTTTAATTTTTAATTTCGAATTTTAGTTACTTCTAAATTGTATTCCTATATTGACTTTAGACTCTTCTTCCCATGTTTTTTTAATTTTGAATTTTAGTTATTTGTAAATTGTATTATTATACGGACTCTAAACTCTACTTTTTAATTTTATTATGTTTATTTCGAATTTTAGTTAATTTTAAATTCCTATATGGAGTCTATACTCTATTTCTAATATTCCTTATTTTTAATTCCGAATTTCTACTATTTCCTAATTGTATTTCTATATGGGCTCTATACCCTACTTCTAATATTCCTTATTTTTAATTCCGAATTTATATTATTTCCTAATTATATTTTTATATGGACTCTATACTCTACTTCTAATATTCCTTATTTTTTTAATTCCGAATTTCAGTTATTTATAAATTGTATTTCTATATGGACTCTAGTCTCCTCTTCTAATATTCCTTATTTTTTAATTCCGAATTTCAACTATTTCTAAATTGTATTTTTATATGGACTCTGTTTTTATTTTTCTCCAATTAATATGAGAATTTATAAACCGTGAGAGCGAACGTGGAGGCTCCTTTTTCTGTTCCTTTAATAAGTTAATAGATTTTTAGTAAGTGGCCCAACTGTACCCATCATGTCCCTGTACTTGGTTCTCTCCCATGTGTTTCACGTGTGTGCTCAATGTTGACACAGTACTCCCTCCGTATTTTAATGTATGACGCCGTTGACTTTTTAATCAACATTTGTCCACTCGTCTTATTCAAAATTTCAATGCAAATATAACAATACTTATGTCATGCTTAAAGAACATTTGATGATAAATTAAGTCACCATAAAATAAATTATAATTACATAATTTTTTTAATAAGACGAAAGGTCAAACGTTTGTTAAAAAGTTAACGGTGTCATACATTAAAATACGGAGGGAGTAATTTGCATGAGAAGCTAAAAAATTGGATGTTTGGTTTCATCCACCACGATTAAATCATGCTCTACGTTCATTTTTTGTTTGACGAATTTCGATTTCAGAAAGTCATACTTGAAAGATGTTACTAACTACTAAGTGTTAACTAGTTAACCTACACTTAATGTATCAAAAC